GGATACTTCATAAAGAAACCTTGCGCAAGGAATCTCAGTAAACAGTCCGTCCTAAAAAAACCTTGGAAAAGGAGCGTGTTCACTAAGGAGCATTGGGAGAGACATCCCTACCAGGAAACCCCGATCAAAAATCCTTACAACAAAAAACATATTCAAGAATCTGCGCGAAGAGGATCCTTACAAAGAGAGCCTGACGAAAAGATCCTTACTGGTGGTATATTAATAAAGAAGCCTCAACAAGAGAACACCACTAAAACAGACTCTTCTCTAAAGGGTGCTGACCCGTGACCAAGGAACCGAACAAACCGAACAAAAGACATGACTGAAGAATCCATACTAAGCAATATGTATCAAAGGCCCGCCAGTAGATAATCCGTATCAGGGGATATTGAGGGTAATCCTTGATAAAAAGCCAGTGCCGAGAGAACCCGAGACAAAACACCAGACGACAAAAAACAATACTAAAGCAGATTTGTGAGGAGAATCCTTACGGGGAAAGCATTGATGACGAATCCGTCTTAAAGGAAGCGTTGTGCAGACCCTTGCCAAGAAATCCTCCGCGAGGAACCCCTACTCAGAATACACCTGTTTATATGTATGTATATTTTTTCTTTTTACACAACAATGTAACATAATTTGTGCGCAAGGCACCTCAGTGTGAAGAACACTTAGTAGTACGGAAACCTGCATACATCACCTTGACGAAGGTAACCTGGAAACAAAACCCATAACAACCAGACCTTACTGAGTGACCCTTTAACCAAGGACATATTGATACAAACGCCGTACTGAGGGTCCCTTCGTCCAGAACTGTCCTGCCGGCTCCTGGGTAGAGACCCCTAAATGATGAATACGTACTACTGAAGCGTAAGTGATATACCATTTGCAGAAGACCCTTCCCAAAAGACCCTTAGTGTATACTCCTTACGCAAGAATCCTTTCACAAATAATCCGTGCTCAAGAAACCGTACGCAATACTCCTTACAAACAGAATCCTTGATATGGAAACCTTACGCAAGAAACCTGAAAACGGAATCCCTGAAGGAGCTTTAGAGAAAGAGTCCTTGTTCAGAAATCCGTCGTACAATAAACCTGGCTAAGGCAACCTTCGCAAACGTACCGTATTTAGGGAGCCCCATCATCACATCCAACGCCAGCGCCAGCATCAGCCACTGACGCACCACCATGATCATCAACAGCATCGCCATCAGAATTACCAGACTCACCACCAATACCACCCCCATCATCATCAACATCAACATTATCACCCTCACCCTCAACATCATCAACCGCGTCGGCATCAATATCCACAGCATCGACAAAACCATCATCAACACTAACGCCATCATCTCCACCAAAGCATGACAATCACCATCACGGTCACCATTCGTGTCATACTCACCACAGCCACCACCACCATCATCAGCAGCACGAACCAGCAACACCGAAAGCACCATCGTCTTAAGCGAGGAAATATAAAGAGAGAGGGGAGAGGTACACATATAGAGAGATATAACGAACTATAAATAAAGAACAAACAAAAAATAACGAAAGAAAGAGAGAGAGAGAGAGACAGTTCGATGTTGAAGTGCACAGCGAAGGACTATAAAGCGAGAGCTCGACTCCTGGGTATAGGGTGATGCATGCTCGGGCGAGAAGTCTAAGTGGCAGCGTGTAAATCACAAAGAAATTGAGAACGAACGCGCGATTACTAGGCAAATCGCGGGGATGTCTCCACCGAGAGGGGATACCTTACAGCGCTGGGGGGTCCGAAAGGATCCTCTGGAATCCGTATGTTTCCCGAGGAATCCTTAGGGCTCCGTCGGATTCCCTGGAATCTGTAGGAATCCGCAATAATCATCCAGAACTTACAGAATCCTCTGACTCTCTAGGGGTCCTGGGGAATCGAAAGGTACCCTCAGGAAACAATCAAATTGAATCCAAGGAGGTTTGTCGTAGAAATTGCTCGGAAATCCAAAGGAAACCTCTGCAAATCAAGGGAAACCGCAGGAATCCATTTGAATCCTGAGGGACCCTTGCGTATCCCTGATATCCATACGGGTCCGCAGGACTCAATGGGAACCCCCAGTCCACAATAATCCTCAGGAGCCCATCGGAATCCCAGGGACCCCCAGAAGGCCCCTTGGGTCATGAAGGGCGCCGATGGGTTCCTGCAGGTTCTTGAGAAATCTCGAGGATTCCCTTGAATCCCTGAACGGTTCCTTTGGGTCCCGAAGAATTCCTTCGGATTCCTAAGGGCTCGTAAAGACTCCGGGGGGGTCAACAAAATTTCTACGGATTCTTCCGGATTCCCATGGGTTCCGTGTCTCCGAATGTTTCCCATGGATTCCCATGGATTCTTCCGGAGTCCCATGGGTGCCTGAGGATTCCCGTCTTTTCATAAGGGGGTCCTGAAGATTCCGGGTGATTCATGTGGATTTCTACGAGTGTCTATGGATTCCTGAAGACTCCGATGCATTGATATGCGTCCCAGGGGACCCCTGATGCTTCCAGGGGATCCCTGAAGATTCCCGGCCAGGTTCTGCAGGAATGCTACGATTCCTGGGATGTCCTCCGGATGTCTCTGGGCGACAACAGATGCAAATTGATTCCTGGGTATATGTACCCCCAGAGACCAGAACGATGGTTTAGGATTCCTGGAAATTACTGGAGACCCCTGAGGATCCCTCAGGACCCCGAAGGACTCCTGACGATTCCGAAGCATCCCTCAGGACTCAACCATATGCAGTTGTGAGCACCCTCGTTGTATGCACTGGGGCCTGCGGTAGAACTCCCTGTGGGGCCACGAAACGTGTGAGGGGTGTGCAAAAAATTGTCTAGTGGGCGCATGCGAAAGCAGCCACTTGGGCCGTCGGTGGAATTACCTATGGGGCCACGAAACGCGTGAGAGGTGTGCCGAAAAAGGTGCGGTGGGCGCATGCGAACGCAATCACTGGGGCCGTGCCGAAATGGGTGCCGCAGGCGCATGCGAACGCAGCCACTGGCGCCTTCGGGGGAGCTCCCTATGGGGCCACACAACGCGGGAGGGGTGTGCCGAAACGAGCGTGGGTGACGCATGCGGGCGGTGGCACTGAGGCCTTCGGTGGAGCCCTCTATGGGGCCACGAAACGTGTGAGGGGTGTGACGAGATGGGTGTGGGTGACGCATGCAGGCGGTGGCACTGGGGCCTTCGGTGTAGCTCCCTATGGGGCCACGAAGCGTGTGAGGGGTGTGCCGAAATGGGTGTGGGTAACGCATGCGGGCGGTGGCACTGGGGCCTTCGGTGGAGCTCCCTATGGGGCCACGAAACGCTTGAGGGATGTGCCGGAATGGGTGTGGGTAGCGCATGCTGGCGGTGGCACTGGGGCCTTCGGTGGAGCTCCCTATGGGGCCACGAAACGCTTGAGAGGTGTGCCGAAATGGGTGTGGGTAACGCGTGCGGGCGGTGGCACTGGGGCCTTCGGTGGAGCTCCCTGTGGGGCCACGAAACGCTTGAGGGGTGTGCCGAAATGGGTGTGGGTAACGCATGCGGGCGGTGGCACTGGGGCCTTCGGTGGAGCTCCCCATGGGGCCACGCAACGTGTGAGGGGTGTGCCGAAATGGGTGTGGGTAACGCATGCGGGCGGTGGCACTGGGGCCTTCGGTGGAGCTCCCTATGGGGCCACGAAACGTGTGAGGGGTGTGCCGAAATTGGTGTGGGTAACGCATCCGGGCGGTGGCACTGGGGCCTTCCGTAGAACTTCCTATGGGGCCCCGAAACGTGTGAGGGGTGTGCCGAAATGGGTGGGTAACGCATGCGGGCGGTGGCACTGGGGCCTTCTGTGGAGCTTCCTATTGGGCCGCGAAGCGCTGTACTGGCTGGGTGAAGCACAAGGAGGAAGGAGGAGCGGGAGGAGGAGGAGGGAGGAGGAAGGAAGGAAGGAAGGAGGAAGAAGAACGCGGGGACCGCCTCTTCAAAACGAGGACCCAACACCACAGGATTGTTGGGAACAAGGTGCGATCCCCGGAAGAGGCACTCTGTTTGAAACAAAATGGTTACGGATGGGGGATTATTCATAGTTCTTTAGAAATTCATGCACCACAACCACAACCACAACAAGAACAATAAAAACAACAGTCAAAACAGCAACAACGACAAAAACAGTCATAACAACAATCATAACAACAACGACAACACAACATTTTGAGGCTGTTCGCTCCTCTCTGCTCCCGTGCCACTCAACGTCTACGCCCAAACCTTCGATACACGCCCCATTCGTCTTCGATGGTGCCCCCTTGGGGGTAGATCTTTCCTAATTAGCGCAGCCCTGCAAACAGGAAAAGAGAGGACGGATGGAAGGGAGAGCGAGGCTAGGAGCAGAAAACACGTGGCACAACCAGACGGGCATATCGGGCGGGTAGACCATAACGGGCGGGTGGGGAAAGCGGACCCAGGCGGCCGGGTCGAGCAGGCGGGTTGCCGAAGCGTGAGTCCTGCATGAATTGCGAGGAGACCTCAAACGATAGTGCGATTCCCAAGTCAATCTTGAGAAACGGCAGAGCGAAGGCGCGATTTCTGAGCGTCGAGAGCCTGGCTTCGGAATAACTCGCGAGGAAGAACATTGTAAGAAAGGAAACGGCAGAGAAGAGATAAAACGGTGACACATAGCCTGGCGGCGAGAAACTGCAGAGCAAGAGCGCGATTCCTGCATAGATTGTGAGGAAGGCCCCAAGCACCAGCGTGAACACGATTTTTGATTGAATTGTGAGGAGGTGTCAAGCGGGAGCCGTTGTTTTTGTAGTCCAGAGACGAGCAAACTAATGGGGCAATACTGCCCCCTGTAAAAAACATGGTGCGGGCCACGGGAGGGGCCGTTCAATTAAAAAACACAAGGTGCACCGGAGGGGTCAAGAATAACTCTTCTTCAGGAACGGGAACTCAGCAAGTAAGAGACACAGACCCAAACAGAACAGACCAACCACACACCGAGGCCGCACCGCCGGCAGCTTCCGAGGATGTCCCGCACGATGTCGCGGTGCATGCCGAGGTCCCCCTGGCAAGACGACACCAGGACGACGATAGCATCGGGCGAGGACACATCGGGAGTCTCTGAGACCAGGCAGCTCTGGAGGACGTCTCGGGCGCCGCGGCCTTCTCAGAGCATTCTTGCCGTCGCTCGGACGTCCATTTCCCGTGCTTGTTCCGGTTTCGTGCGTTCTTTTGTTGCTCGATGGTCCAGGATGGTCCTCGATGGTTCTCGCCGAGAAACAATGCACACGTCCGAGCTGTGCCAAAGGAACGGAGTTCTCCTCGCCCTGGCCCTGTCCGAGAGGAGGGCCCCGGAGCCCGAGAGGAGGGCCCCAGACCCTCGGCCCCAGACCCTCCGCCGGGGGCAGGGCTGGGAGGTCTGTGTCTCCAAGGCGCCACCGCGCGGACCCGGGGCCCCTCTCAGACCCCGGGGCCCCGTCCGACTCCCCCCCCCCCCCGCCCACGCTTAGGTCGGGCGCGCCCCGCATACAGGCGGATTTCGGACGAACCAATAAAAGATAGCACCCCCAAAAGATTCAAAAAGGTTTCAAAATTGCAGAAGTCGTCCCTGGACAACTTGTTAAACTATGTCTGTAGGGGGACAACGCCCTCTCGCCGCGCAGGCGGGGTCGACCGAGATCGGGGCCTGCACGGACGAGGGCGACAAGGACGACGAAAGGCGACCAGGACGACGAGGACGACGAGGACGACGAGGACGACGAAAACGACGAGAACGACGAGGACAACCAAGACGACGAGGACGCGGACGACACGGACGACCTGTGGGTCGCGGGGGGGCCGGGAACTCGTCATCGCTCGGACGTCCATTCTCCGTGTCTTTCGCGAGTTCGCGCGCGCATTGTCTCGCAGGACATGGTGCCAGATGCTCCTCGACGGCCCCCGCCGGGACTAGGGGGCTACATGCGAACCCTACCGCTACCCCCCACGATTTCTGAGGGGGAGGGTGGGGTTCACTTCGCTCGGGAGCTTCCGAACGAAGTGAACCCGAGCTTCCGAGCGAAGTGAACCCCACCCACCCCCTCAGAAATCGTGGGGGGTAGGGGTAGGGTTCGCACGTGCCCCCCCAGGGACAAACAAAAACATGTGCACACGCCCGAACGACGCCGAGGCGAAGGCGGAAAAGGGAGCAGAAGACGACGGCCACGACGCGAGGCGAAGCCGTGCCCCGTGCGTCCTGGCCCTCCCCGGGCGGCGGCGGCGGGGCGGTGGACGGCGGCGAGGAGGCGGCCATGGGCCGCGGGGCTGCGGGGCTACCCTGCCCGGGCGCAGCGCGCGGTCGGCGGTGAGCCCGCCTCGAGCCGGCGAGGCCCGCGGAGCACGAGCGGCAGGGCACGATCGGGCGCTGCTCGCGGGGGTTCGATGCGGCGGCGGCGCGCGCAGAAGGGGGGGGGGGAAGTGAAGAGGAGCGTCGGGAGTCCCTGCGTACCTACCAGACCACACCAACCCAACCCGAAGACCCGAATTTCGGGTTGGGGGGGGTATGGGCTCCAGATGTGTTTTTGTCGGTGTTCCCAGACCCCCCCCCACACTGGAAATGGAGGGCAGATTGAGGCCTTCGGGTTGGGTTGGGGTGGTTTGGTGGGTGGTGAATCCCTAAGCCTGCCGAGAGGTGCCCTGGAACCCCCCCGAAGGCAAGAAGGGCGGGGTCTCCGAGGAGCCCCCCCGCCTCCGGCGCAGGCCTTCTTCTCCTGCTCGTCCCCCCCCCCCCGTCGCTCGCCGCCGAAGTCACATGGGGGGCGAGGCGTGCGCCCCCCGTGCCCCCTCGTGGGGCCCAGCCTCCCCCCCCCCCCCTTACCCCTCCCCAGTGCCTGACACGCGAGAGCCATCCAATTTCGCCATATTCGTGGTGCTCGGCCGTTGTTCTGGTGGTCAGGGCTTAAAGACGTTAGGGCCCTGGACCCCATCCTTGCGCCGCACTCTTCGAGCGGATCGACCCGTGAGGGTCCCAAAGCCCTCACAAAAAGCAGTCCGGCGGCGAAGTGGCGGCATTTCGCGCGAGAGCGGAGACGGGGCACACTCGGTGTTAGGTCGGCCATGTCCTCCAAATGAAACCCGACAGCATATAATCCACATTGCCAGAAATGATCAAAAAGTCGTGTCCATGGAATTTTTCGACTCTTTCTGAATTTCCCCCCTGTAGAAGGACGTGCCCGACTGCAGCTCAGTCGAGTCCCGCCTGGCATAGCAGACGAGTGGCTGACGGTGCAGTCGCGTGCAAAAACAAGAGGCGCAGAAAAGCGCAGCATGCACGCAGAAGATGGCGGAGAGCGGCCACGCGAGGTGCCAGGACGGAGGTCGAGCCCACGCCCGTTTGAAAAAAAGGCGACGCCGGGATCCGAGAGCTAAACACCCCGTTCTCCACCTCCTCCTCCTCCACCTCCTCCCCCCTTCTCCTCCTCCCCCCCTCCTCCTCCTCCTCCTCCTCCTCCTCCTCCTCCTCCTCCTCCTCCTCCTCCTCCTCCTCCTCCTCCTCCTCCTCCTCCTCCTCCTCCTCCTCCTCCTCCTCCTCCTCCTCCTCCTCCCCCTCCTCCTCCTCCTCCTCCTCCTCCCCCTCCTCCTCCTCCCTCAAGCAACTTGGGCTCGAGCACCATTTTGGCAGCTCTGGCCCGGCTCCCGCCGCTTCCTCGGAGTGCTTGGGGGGCAAGCAGTCCGCTGCGCCAGAGCGCACAGTGCATAGCGCTCGGCCGATCGTGCAGCCGATCTGTTTGGCGAAAGGTGGGATGACGAAGGCTACGGGATATTCTACGGAGTGGACATGGTCCAAATGTGCAGGATGTGACAAGTGCGACTACAACCATGAGTTCGAGTCCCGAGGGCGGACATGCTACGGGTGCGGGCGGCAGGTCAAGTTGTACAAGCCCAAGGCCAAGGATGAGGGCAACCAGCTGCAGCTCGCCCATTCCCAGTCCACCACCTCGGCTGGGCGCAAGGGCGGAGACTGGCCCCAGACGGGCGGTGCGAAGACGGACCTCGACCTTCTCGAGCTCACCCTCGGCACCGCGAAGGACCCCCTCCTGAGGAAGCTGCTCGGGTATGAGATCCGCAAGAAGAAGGAGTTGGTCAGGCCCAGCCAGACCCCCGAGGAGGCGGTCCGCCAAACGGCGGGGGCCTGGCGTGCCGCGGCCATGCGCCACGACCAGGCGGTCGCAGCGGTCCTCAAGGCCAGGGACAACTTGCAGCTGGCCGAGGACAAGGAGCGCATCGCGGCCATCGAATTGGCTAAGACGGACGAAGCTCGAGGCAGAGCGGCGAGAGTGCTCGCCCAGCTGATGGGGGTGATAACGGAGACGCCGACGCCGTCCGAGCACATGGGTTCGGGCGACCTCTTCCAGCTCACGATCGACGAGAAGTTCTTCTCGGAGTTAGGGGAGCTAGAGTGCGAGGAGCACGAGCGAGCGACCCTCAGGGAGCTCGAGGCACAACTACGGTCAACGCAGGATCTAGTCAAGGGGAAGAATATGGAGGTCAAGCACTGGCAGGAGAAGACGGAGGCCATGAAGCGCGAGATCACGCAGAGGCTCGCCAAGAAGCGCAGGGCAGCCTCGGGCGACGGGATGACCACGCCGCCGCAGGCCGCTCCTCCAGCCGCTCGCGGTGCAGATGGTACCGCAGAGGCTGGCGCCCGCGACGGGGGAGGAGTGCCAGCGACGGCGGCCGCGGCAGCGCCAGTCAGTGACGAGGCAGCCGCGGCCGCCGCCAGGCACGCCGAGGCAGCCAAGAAGTTGTCGGACGCCAAGTTCGCGGCGGCCAAGGCGGCCAAGGAGGCCAAGGACGCCGCGGCCCTGCAGAAGGCGGCTGACACTCCTGCGGCGTGAGCGCCGCTGCCGAAGGGTGCCCCGAGGACCACGGCCAGTCCGAGTGGTGCGACGACTGCTGCAGGTTCGAGGGGCTCACCGTCGGCATCGGCCTCAACCGCAGGTCGAATCGGGGATAGTCAGGGATTGGATAATGAGCTGTCTACACTCTTTTTCGCCAACGTCACGTGTGCTGGCCCTAAGATGTGGGACTGCATTATCTCAGATAAGCAACGCGAACGGTTTCATTTTACAGGTGTAGTTGAATCGCAAGTTGACGCGGGCGGTCTGGATCATTGGCGGAAGGAGGCCCGCAAGGTAGGACTTCGTCTGACAGCCAACCCAGCCCGTCCGTCGGGGAACGCAACTCTTGGGGACAACGCTCACCGCTCAAATGAAGGAGGCGAGTGGCTTTTAGCAGAAGGTCACCGTGCCGCACATACTCTAGCAGTCGACTCGTGGAGTGCACTACGAGCCGAAGGACATCAAGCGTTGGATGGGTTCCACGCATCGGTCATTGAGATGAAAGGGTATGCCTTTGTCGCTATGTTGTGTGGGTACTGTGGAGAAGGCTGGTATGGTCGCAGCCTTCAGAGGTACTCCAAGTTGGGTGCACTACTATCGCTTCTTTCTCTCCCGTGGATCGTCTTCGCCGATTGGAACATGTCATCGGCAGATCTCACGAGGCACGGTTTTGTTCACAAAGTGGGTGGACACGTTGTTCGGGCCGACAACACGTCCATCACTTGCACGTCCAGCGCCAAGTCCGAGGGCACTGAGAGGGATTTCGCCATCGCCTCCAGCAGTTTCAGCCCGTACATAGTCAGTGTCAGAGCGGTCGCCGACGTGCCGTGGAAAACGCATTGCGGGTTACTAATGCACTTCCGAGGCTCAGGCGCCCAGCTTCTGACGCGTGTTCTCTCCCTCCCTCCTAAGCTGCCGCAGTCCCCGCGGCCCACCTCCCTCCCTGTACCAGGCTCCAAATCGTCAGCCGCCAAAGCGGAGCGTGCTAGGCAGTCAGCTGTGTCTCGCGAGAGAATGCGTGACACTTGTGCCTCACTGTTTGGGGATGTCGTCTCCTCGCCGCCTGGCGGGGTGGGCTCGCTTGGTCTGGAGGCGACGTCCCCGCCTCACCCTGAACAGAGCTCTGCACTCCGTGATTTTAGTTTTCAAGGGTGGCCCGAAGAGGATGAGGACCCCTGGGCTGGCGAGAGTAGCTTCGTGGCTCGTGAAAGCGCGCCCGCAGTCGTCCCCGAATCGGCGACCGAGCACGCTGGAAGACAGCCCGTGCGTTTAGAACTTGCCAGCTTGGTGGCCCCACCTCGGCCTCCTGTTGTTCCCTTGGAGAGGTCCCAGACCCATCTGCAGGGCACCAACACAGGTAGGTTTCACGACCCCTCGGAGCCCAACACGGGGACCCATGCTGCTGCTGGTGCTGTCCCCTCCGCCTCGCCCCCCCCCTCCCCCCTTTTGCATTCCGTCCTCATCTTGGCTCGATCACAGGACGCAAGTTGGTGTTGTTTCGGCGGAGTGCGACTGGAGGGTTGTCAGAGATTCCCTCGAATATCATGTGGGGGCGCGACACGTCACCGCCGTGAGCGGGATGCATGCAGCCTGGGTCACCACACTCGAGGCCACGATATACGATCACCATGGTCAAGTACCCCCGACCGTCGCGAGATGCCGAGCCGAGGCACCGAGCTTTCAGGTCAGGGAAGTTCACATGGCGGAGAAGGCTCGCACATAGCCTTTTCATGACCAAATATGCTCTTGGTGGGAACGCACACACACACACACGGTCTTCTCACACATTCTGAAGCACAGTGAACGAGGCAACGGTCGGCGACAATGTGCAGCTCTTGCTGAGGCGTCGCTCAGGCTGATAGGCGACTACCCCACGGATGTGCACACACTGGTCAGTGACAAGTGGGACTGGCAGGTGTGGATCAACGTCACGAGGGATCCGCTCCACACGTCCATGGCCACCCTCTCGGAGACGCAGGCAGTCGCCGAACGTGCGTGCAAACGTGCGCGAGGTCGGGCTTTACATCGGTCACTCGACGAGTTCAGGTCATGGATGATGTCAGAGACGGCGCTGCCAGTTTTGCACCGTTCAGTCAAAGGAGCACCTCAGCCAGCTGAGGAGTTAGCACTACAAGGCAAGATTTTGTTTCATTCAATGGATATCATCGATTACAAAGCGGGCAACTGGCACAGACTATGGTGTAGCAGGCCGCTGGATCACGATAAGTTGTACCGCACTTTCGACAGCATACGTGAAGCTGCGGAGGTCGAGGCCCTGCCATTGTTATCAGGAGAGGAGATGCAGGCAGCTGCTCGCCAGATGCGTCCTCGTGCTGGCCAAGGGGCGGATCGGACTGCTCCCCTAGATGTGGAGCGCTTGCCTCCAGAAGGTCTCAATGAGCTCGCAGACGTGCTGAACGCGGTGGAGTCATGTCTGACATGGCCTTGGCAGCTGATGCTGGTCATCGGCCGCCTGTTGGCAAAAAAGTGGCGGTGACAGATCCATCGGCATGATCAGCATGGTTCCCAGGATCTGGTCCTTGGCCAGGGAACCCTGGGTCAAGGACTGGACCGTGGCGTCCCAGCCGCGCTGGGATGCCGCAGTGGCTGGGAACTCCGCCATCCGTGAATGTTTCTTACGCATACTGGGGGAGGAAGTTCACTCAGCCATGGGAGTTGCTTTTGGCCACGCTCTCATTGACATCCAATCGTTCTACGATAGTATATGTTGGATGGCGCTGGCAACCAAGGCATTGTCCCTGCGCTTCCCCCCTGTCATTTTGTTTCTTGAACTTCAGCTGCGCGTCGGACCCCGAGTCCTCGCCCAACAAGAATGTTTCTCGGAAGCGTTTCAGCCCACGGCAAGTGTGATCCAGGGGCTGCGCAGTGGCACGCGGTTCGCCAGATGCATGACTTACTATATTCTAGATGCCGTCACCAAGGGCAGCCCGATGGTTGGCATGAGATTATGGATAGACGACCTGTCCCAGTACGTCTCAGGTTCAATGAGGTTTGTTAAGAAGCGTTTACTGCAGGTCACCACTCACACCAACAGTGCTATGGCCGAGGACGGCTTGAGGATCGCGGCTAAGAGTGTCATCCTTTGCTCCCACCACCGTGATGCAAGGGGGGTCTCAGCCAAGCTTAAGAGAAAGAACATCACCATCCTTCCTGTCTTGCAGGCTGGATACTTCGGAGTGGATTCTGGAGCAGGCCGCCATGCCAGGAGCACAGCCAGGAAGCGGTTCGCGAAAGCATCGGGCATGCACGCGAAGATCAGACGTTTCGCACATGCAGCCCGACGCGACCTGCCAGCACTACGTCTGGAAAAGGCGGGTGCGCAGCCAGCAGGGCACTACGGGCACCAGCTCTACGGGGTCTTCGGCAGCAGCATGCTGGGGACGCGCAGGAGACTGGCCCACGTGGCTTGTGCAGCATGGAGGGGGAGGTGCCTCACTTCGGTCCTCGACCTCCGCTGCCCAGGGCACGACCCAGGGTATGCGCTGCCACGTGCCTGCTTGCAGCTCTGGCTCACGTCGCGGGTCAATGCACCGCGGATCCAAGCTGGAGTTCGCGCGGCCTGGAGCAAGACAGTCGCCAAGCTCAAGGGTTTAGCGATCCAGGAGCGCTCCAGGCACGCGCGGGGGCCCATGAGCGCAGTCATCTGATACCTCTTGCAGCGCGGCTGGGACCCAGTGAGCCCGACTGAGTGGGGCACCAAGCAGGCTGGCACCGAGGACAGAGAGGCCTTCATCTTTGATCAGCTGCAGCCCCACGACGACGCCACTCCACTTCTTGAGGAGTACGAATGTTCTGTGCGTTCTCAGCAGTGGCGAGTAGCATCGCATCACTTCTGCGGGGCTGGGCTGGAGCATGGTGCGGGCAACGCATCTTACAGAAAGCTCCTGCTCTCCCTGGAGAAGGCTGAACATGGCCATCAGTTGGCCGAGATGATGATGTGTGTTGCAGTCGGCGGGACATGGCCCAGGCAGCGCATAGCGGACGAGGTCGGCGGCGACGTCGACGTCCTCTGCCCGCGCTGCCGAGAGGCCCCCGAGACGGCATTCCACCGAGCATGGGGGGTGCCCATGCAACACAGGTTCGACTGCATATTCAGCGTCAGAGTCGCTTGCAGCGCAAGCATATAGCCAGCATGAGGCGGACGCCTGCTTCTGGCTTAGAGGCATCATCCCGATGACTTGGACGCAGGTCGAGCCCCCCCCCCCCCGTCGGATTTTCAGCGGAGTTTAAGCGGCGCGGTCGAGCTCAACGATCTCACGCTAGGGCACGGTATCCCTCGCTCGCCTGTCTTCGTTTTCGGGGACGCGAGCGGAGGGGCCGACTCTCGAGACGAGCGGCTTCGTCGCATAGGCATCGGCCTGGCCAGTATCAGTTGTTTTGAGCCGTTTCAGGTGTCTGTTTCCCTTCGGACCCCGCTCCCTGGTCCCAGGCAGTCCGTTCCTAGGGGTGAGCTGACGGCCCTCTGGGCGGCCATACATTTTAGTTCAGGTTTTCTGGTTTTCGTCACGGATAACCAAGCTGTGATGGACGGGTGGCACGCCCGCCTCTTCCACCGACCCCAAGGCCCCAACCAGGATCTTTGGAGGTCAATTGGTGCGTTGGAGCACCGCCGTGGTTTCTCAGACATTGTCGTGCTGCAAGTAGCTTCTCACCAGACAGGAGCTGATCTGGGGGCCTCGGGCACGCCGCTGTGGCTTGCACAGGGCAACGAGGCTGCCGACGAAGTGGCGGGCATCGCTGCTCAAGAGGCCCGTGTCCCCCAGACCTCCCGAGCGCGCGTGGCCCAAGCGGAGCACAAGGCCAGCTTGGTGCGCGCTCGACTTCTTCGGGCCAACCTCGAGGCCGCTGCTGTGGAAAAGAGAGTCGCTGTTAAGAAAAAGGACCGACGGCCTCCGCCGTCTGCTGCCTCTCTCGCCTTCTTCGGGTCCCAACATGTCTTTTCACCTGACGGCTTGAGCTGTACCAGATGCCACAGTTGTTCATCCAAGGCGTGCCTGACCGAATGGAGAAAAACTCAGTGCATTGAATTACAGACCCAGTCTAATTCGTCAGTGTTGAGGCTTCCGAGGGGTCATTCTGTACACATAGGGGGAGGATTCACTCACCCGTCCCACGAGCTTCTTTTCCACCCTGTTTTGAAGCTTTGGTTTGCAGCTCGTGTGGGTTTTATACCTGTTCCCAGCTTCGGCCTAATCTGGCCAAGCCTTGTTCTGTTTCCCCCGAGTCCGAGGGGCCCAGGAGGACCATCACGCCCACAGGGCAGGTGTGCCTGGACAGAATTCATAAGGGTCTGTGGCCCAAGTATAAGTAGCCTAATTAAACCCGAGCAGTGGCTTGAGTGGTGGTTAGGTCATGTTACTTCGCTTCGCGATAGGTCCATTCCATTCCATTCCCCTCCTCCTCCTCCTCCTCCTCCTCCTCCTCCCTCCCTCCCTCCCTCCCTCCCTCCCTCCCTCCCCACGCCCCCCCATCGCCCGACCCGCTCCTCGTGCCTCTCACAAGGCCAGCCCCGCAGCGGCCCGCGGCCGCCCGCCCCCCCCCCCCCCGACGCCGCCAACGCCGGGGCCTGGCGTGATGGGCGGCACCTGGCAGGGGTGAGGTCGGGCGTGCCCTCCTACAGGGGGGGCCTCTCGACGAACAACGGCCCAGACCCCGGAATAGGTTGACCCCACTGGTCGAGATGTGGTCCTCGGCGCTCGACGAGAAAATGGTCCAGCCCCAAGTGGTCGACGAACAATGCTCCTACAGGGGGGGGGGGGGGGACTCTCGTCCTCCGAATGTCTTCAAAGACCCCAGAAATATTCGAAAATGGTCCAACAAATAATCGAGCAGTCGTCCCCAGACTATTTTGTTCACTCTTTGTGAATCTTCCTCCTGTAGAGGGACATGCCCGACTCCAAGCAAAGGGATGCGGGTCCGGGATACGGGCAACACGTATATAACGCGCACCCGTGCCTCTGGGCACGGAAGGGGCCCAGACATGAGCGCGCCGTAAGAAAATCAGGACGGCACGTTTGTCGCTACAGTCGGCCCGTATAGTGAGGATGCGCGATAAGGATGCAGGTGCCTTGAACGCCCATTTCGAAGTTTTCGAGCGGGGCGCGGCCAGCGAAAGCGGCGAGGGATGGACCGAGGAGGCAAGTATGCAAGGGTACCCTTGGGAAGGTTGCCCATCCTTAATCTGCGGGTTGACAATATTTTCGGCCCCTGGGGGCCCTCGCCAGTCCCCGGGCGCGTCAAAAAACAGCTCAGGACGAACAACCGGTCCCGGGAAAGTGGTCCGGACCTCCAGGGTCCACGCACCAAGAGAAAGATGGAGCAGCAGGATGTATGGGTCAGGTCCTCTGCCTCCTCCTGGAAGCCTCAATCCTCGCTCCTGAAGGGTCTGTGAGGGGTCCGCGGCAGGAGGATACTGGAGGGCCCCAGGGACACACAAGGAGTTCCGCTTTCCCCTCCACCTCCAATATTTCTCTATACTATCCCTGGGGATCTGCGCTCAGTTGTGTCTGCGTGGTTTTGTTCCCTCCTGAGATACAGCCAACCCGTACAAGGAGGACGTTCATGCAGCACCAGAGTGCGAGGGCCTGCGGAGGCCGTGCCGGCACTCTGCGAGCGGGGCGCGGCCAGCGAGAGCGGCCAAGGAGGGGCCGAACGCGGGAGGATGCAAGGGTAACCTCAAGTCGGGCGTGTCCCCCTCCAGGGGGACCTTCGACGAAATATAAAAGAAAATCCCAAACATGCTCCAACATGGCCAAAACATATGTCGGTTTCTTCTTGTTTTGAATCCATGTATATATATATATATATACATATATAGATGTGTGCGTGCATGTTTTGACTATTTTGGAATATTCCCCCTGTAGAAGGACAGGCCCGACTTAATTCTGAGCGCGATGGGAGGCCCCGGAGGTCCCGACCTCTCCCCCGGGGGGCAGTGCTTCGTCCCCGGTCCGCTCCGGAAGGCCCCCCCCTGGGCCCGACGAGGCGGGGGCCCCGCAGACCGAGCTCGAGGAGGAGCGCCCTGGGGCTCTGGGGCCCTCTCCGCGCGTGCTGCCACCCCCAGGATTAGGATGCTCCGACCTACTTTACCCTTGATCACCAGGAAGAACTTCGAGCGCCCCAGAAACAAACACGAAACTCAAGGGTTTATTCGTGTCTGGCCCTGTGAGACACTCGCAGGACACTGTTTCGACACTGTTTCGACACTCTTTTGACAGTTGTCCGGGTGCTCGAAATTATTTCTGGGATGCGGTCCTTAAGTAGGATGGGAACAACATAACCCCAGGACCCCCTCGAGTGAAGGGAAAAAACACGACGGGCGTTTTTCGCTACTTTCGGCCTCGCGGGGCCCTCGCCGGGCCCCGGGACCGTCAACAAAAAAGACTCGGAGTGGGAAAGACCGGTTTTGGGGAGTAGGTCGAGATCTCTGGGGGTCGACGCTATGAAAAATAAACATTACGTCGGGTGTCTGGGGCCGTTACACGTTGGGGCTGAGCTACCCCGGTACGCTCGTCTTGGAGCGCGGCGCGTACCGTTCTCAGAGCGTCCGTTAATGCCACGCTGCGTGCTGGTTCACGGTCTTGGCCCGCGTTCTGGCAAGCGTGTCCTGCCGAACGTGCGCTTTCCATAGCCGTGCTGGGCTCTGTGTCGGCACGCTGCGGGTTGCGCGTTGCGTGCCGGGGCGGCTAATCGTGGGGGGGGGGGGGCTCTCCATTCGTCGAGGTGGCGACTTGTCCGGAACCGCGCGAGGAGCTTCTGCGGCCAGGCCCTAGCTCGGGCCGCGGCCCTTCGGGTCAGCTCGGGCACCCTGGGAGCGCCGTCTGCGAGGCCTCAGCTGGCGGGAGGCACCCCGAGGCGGGAACGCATCCACGCTCCGACGAGAACGCCCCTAGTCTCGAGCGGGTTCGTTTCGTAGCAAAACATGGGGGCCTGGCGTACCCAGTTAATTCCGCCTGTAGCGTCGACTCGCGTCAATTAGCGTCTGGGAGTCGATGAGACAGCGCCGATCTTGGGTCTGCTAGCGTCGATTAGCGTCGACCTAGCGTTGATTAGCGTCGACCTAGCGTCGAGTGGCGTCGATTCGCAAGAGCCGACAAGACGGCATGGGAGGCTCCCGTGAGATGCGGGACTCTCGTTTTTTTGCTGCTCTCGTTTTTCGGGACCTCCGGGGCCAAGGTGCTCTCTCGTTTTTGCTGCTCCCATCGCGCTTAGAGTTAAGTCGGGCGTGTCCCTCTACAGGGGGGACAGTTCAAAACTAGTCAATAAATCGTCTGGGGACGATTTTTCTATTTTTGCATATTTGGGGGGTATGATTGAACTGTTTTGTTTTTCGCTCAAAATCCCCCTGTAGGAGGACACGTCCGACTGAAGCTTAGAGACCACATCTCCCAAAAATGCGGGCACCCAAAAAGTATCGAAACGGTGTCGAACGAGCACCGCCTCCTAAGGCCCGACACGTGAAAACCATCCAGTCTCGGTGCTCTCTTGAAAACCATCCAAATCTGGTGATCCAGGCTACAGTAGGTCGGAATAGTTCAATTAACCTTGAGAAGAGGAAGAGATGTTGTGCAGCACGGCAAGAACAGATCCTCGAAGATCTGAGGTGCCTTCCCAAGAAAATGAGGAGGGAGGAGGTAGGAAGAGGGATGAGAGATGAGAAATGAGGAATGAGGGATGAGGGAGGAGGACGAGGAGGGAGGAGGATGAGGAGGATGAGGAGGAGAGGAGGAGGAGGAGGAGGAGGAGGGGAGGAGGAGGGAGGAGGAGGAGGAGGAGGAGGAGGAGGAGGAGGGAGGAGGAGGAGGAGGAGAAGGAGGAGAGATGAGGGGTAGGAGGAGGGAGGGGGGCCGGCCTTCTCAGAAGCAGGGGGGCCTCCCGCAAAGGGGGCGCCTGCTCAGAAACCCCCTGGCTTCCGAGGAACCTTCGTGAGAGGCTCCGCGCCCTTCTAGAAAAAAAAGGCCCCTGCCTTCTAAGACCCGTTTTTGAATTCAAAAACCCGCTTTGGGCTGGCTTCCGAGGAGCCTTCCCAGGAGCCTCCGCGCCCTTCTAGAAAAAAAACTGCCTTCTAAGACCCGTTTTTGGATGCAAAACCCTGCTCTTGAACTCAAAAAGACCCGTTTGCTGAATTCAAAAACCCGTTCTGCTAATTCCCACACCAGACCCCTCGTAGAGGGCACGCCCCCTCGCGTCACCCCTTTGTGCGCGGCGCCAACTACGGGAACGCAGCCCCAGCAGGTGGACCGCGATCCACAGAGACGATACGAGACAAGCTCCTTCAACAGCGGGAGCCCAAGGAATGAGGAAACTTCGGCCGAGCTCTTCCGGTGACACGGGAAGCCCATCCGGCCGAGTGGTCTGCGATGGAGAAAGCGTGGACGTGATGCTCAGCGCGGAACGGCTGTTCATCCCACCATGCGTTCATATCCAGTTGCAATCAAGCCTAGTCTACTGCCACCCCAAAGTGATCAACAGAAGGTCCAACAGAAGGTCTAAACAGACTGTCGCACCACAGCCTGCTTAGACCAAGTGGGTGATGACCGATCACCGCGCATCGGGAAAGAGATCAATAGAAAAGCCCGCCCGCAGCAACACCTTCCGGCCTACAATTTGTATGGCTTCGAGCCGACGATACAGCAGCAGAGGCGGGGATAACAGCAGCGGCAGCGGCAACGGCAGCCGACGCGCCGCAGAATTTTGACGGTGCCCGGCACCGGCGGCTGATGAGGGCGACGGGCAAAGGCGGCTGCTGGAACCGTCGCTGGGCCTGAGAATGGCGGGGAAGGGAATGATATCGTCTTGCGATAAGGGGACGGACGAAAAGAACTGGCTAGAGAAATGGCTAGACGAAGAAATGGGCAGACGAAATGGCCAGACGAAAAGAACTGGCTAAAAAAAATAGACGAATATAATAGGAATAAGATTATCTAGAGAAATGGCTAGACGAAGATGAAGGGGACAAAACACAAACGACAAAAACGTTCGGAGATCCGCACGGAGTTCTTGGATCCGCGCTGGGCCCCTTCTCCCCGTCGCGGGGATCGCGCCAGAGGCGCCGCGAAGGAGAAGAGAACACGCATGCCAGCACGCTTCTGTAGAATGACGGGAGGAGGTCAGCGGGGGCTCGCCCAGAAAAGCTGTATACTATGCCTTGATCGGGGATGGACAGACCCCCCTTTAGTAAAACGTGGTTTGGTGAAAACGACCTGAGGCCCAAACCTGGCGGGCGCAAGCCTGGAAAATAACGGCCACGGCGCCCTCCCGAAAACCGAAAACGGACAATTCACTAATCGACGTGTCACAGTTGGGGGTTCTGTCCACCCCCGACTTGAAGCCCTGGGGGCTGGGCGAGGGTCCTGGTCGTGGGTCTGCTCCACAAAAAGTTCCCTCCGTGGGGCGCGGTTTTCGTATGCTGGACGTGGCCCCGTGGGGTGGAATCTGACTGGGGTGGGGAGGGTGTGGCCCACAAAAGAAGATTGGAGGCTTGGAAAGGCGCACCAACACCAAGACAGAGCGGAACCCAACCAGGGGAAGCCGATCCTAGATTTAGGTCGGGCGTGTTCCCATACAGGAGGATTCTGGACGAAACACAAAAAATACCAAAAGATACCCCCAAGTGATCAAACATAGGCAAAAAATAGTCCCACAACTATGTTTGTACTATGTTTGAATACTCCTCCTGTAGAGGGACAGGCCCGACTTACTCCTAGATTTGGGCGTCGCTGATGTTTCTTCGACCGCCCAGAGGCCCGAATGTTACCAATACCGCCGAGGTCGGGATCACCTCGCCTCGGTGGGGGCACACCCAGCGATACTGGTGTCGGTGTCAGACGCTCGGCCTCCGAACAGATTACACCGGTGGATGGCTTGAGAGATCGATAAAGAGATCGGTAAGGAGATCGATGAAAAGATTAAACAGATATCGATAAGGATATCGATGAGGAGATCGATAAGTAAGGAGGTCGGTAAGGAGATCGATAACACGAACAAACATACACAATTGGTGTTGGTGTCAGACGCTCGGGATCGACGAAGACATCGATAAAGAGATCGACCAAGAACCCGGGAGCCCAGGAACCCGGAACCCACCGAAATTGGACCCGAACCAATGGCCAAGAACCCGGGAAGCCCAGAACCGGGCACCCGGGAACCCAGCCGGCCACCATAATCGGCGGGGCACTTTCGCAAATCTTACAATTTCCGCCAGGCCGCTTTCGGTGCAAGCACTTATTGGAGAAAATCGAGGAGGGGGACGCAGACATGGGACGTCCTGATTTTTCCAGGACGGCGCCCCCAGAAGTCATTGGGCCTTTGCTGAATTCCTGCTCGTTAACATTTGTAACGTGTGCGGAGCTGTACTGTCAATGCCGCGCTTTCCTGTGGCTGTGCTGCGGTCCTGATTGCAACGCGCACCGCCAAAAGCGGCGCAGAACTTGAGAGATCCACCTACCAAAAATCCTCAGGACCGGTTTCTCATCCTGAGCCGTTGTTTGACGGTCCCGGGGCCCGGCGAGGGCCCCCAAGAGCCGAAAGTAGTAAAAAACCTGCGTCCTGAATTTTTTACGACGCGATCATGCCTGGGGAAGCTGCGAAAACACCCCCCAATCTCCCAAATTCCCTCCTGCGTGGGCTGTCTGTCCGGCCAGCGGCAACGCATGTTGGCGAGGTCCGCGCGGCTCGAAGCTAATCAGACAAGGCCAAGTGAAGGCTGGACTGCGAGCTCCCGAGAAGCCCTGTGGAGAAACGCGCGCTTACAGCAAGACGCATTCTGTTCCGTCTGTGGCATTGGCAGAACTGGGTTTAGTGGGACCTAGTTTAGTGATGCCTGGGTCGAGAAGGGGGAGAGCGCGAGCAAGCTCAACTCGTTCCAGGGGAGGCTGCAGGCAGCTCTGCCGCAAGACCGCGGCATCGGCTTTTCTTTTCTCTCCCCGGGGGGGTAAAGCCGCGGGCGCGCGGAGGAAGAGGGGGGACGACAAGGCTTACAAACTTTTTCTCCTGCTCCTCCTCCTCCTCCTCCTCCTCGTCCTCGTCCTCGTCCTCCTCCTCCTCCTCATCCTCATCCTCCTCCTCCTCTCCTTCCTCCCCATCCTCCCTTTCTCCCTCCTCCTCCTCCTCCTCCTGCTCCTCCTCCTCCTCCTCCTCCTCCTCCTCCTCCTCCTCCTCCTCCTGGTGATAGTAAAGTGCGGAATGCCAATCTCGCTGGTATTGGGGGCTTGGGAATGGACACCGACACCAACACAGGGAATTGCGCACACTGGGGGAAGATGATCCTAGACTTTGGCTTCCGAGGTATCTGGCGGTAATCTTTCAAGGGTGCTGGTGGTTATCCTTCGGCCACTTTGGAAGCCTAAGCATTACCACCATCACCGGCATTGGCATCAACTTCCCTCGGTGCAGGCACACGTCCGATCTTGTCGGGGATCTTCTGACCCGGGTCAATCCAGACCCCGGTCAGTCAGGCCTTGCAGAATCCTGCAAAGTCTGCAACATCCTGCGCCCAAACCCGGGTCAACGCGAGGGATCCTGCAAGATCCTGCAGGATCCTGCGCCCAAGCCCGGATCAGTGCGACCCTGGCCCTGCAGGATCCTGCAAGAACGGGCGCTCTGACCGTCCCCCGTTTGCATTGACCCCCGTCTCGAGGCTCCCGATCTGGGTGTCGGTGCCAGCCTCTGGGCCTCCTGTGGTATACGCGGACGATATCAGATCACCGCACCGAGCCTCGAAATTTCAAGGGGCTCCCTGACGTCACCGGATGTCAAGTGCGTGGGCACGCCCACCTGCGAGCCCAGTGAAGAAGCGCACGCCTCCCACTTGGACAAGAAGGGCCGACGAAAAGACTCGACGGCAAATTCTAAGGCCGCCGATGGAAGCCAAACGCGACATGGTGCTATTCGTTGTTCTCTGAGAAAGAAGAAAACTAAGCACCGTACCGCCAAGAGACCTACATATGGCGAGGCCTCCCAAAGAAATCCTTCTGACCCTTCACCCGCTGAAACCGCTGGGCCCCGCGAGAGTGTCCAGGGGTGCGGACGCGGGCGCAAGTCAGTCCACAAACCCTGCACCACTATCATGCGCAAATCGGCAATGATGAAACATGCACTAGGGAGGTGGCCACGGTACGGGGCATGTAGGTCGCCCGCGGCTGGTAATTCGGCGGCCGGGGGGGGGAGTGGACGGGAGATGCCCAGAGACAGCACAGGTCGTCGCACGCTCTCCAGCGGGCTCTGGGGGTGAGGCTCACTGCACTGGCCTTGCAGGCGTGCTGCAGCGGATTTCTGCCTGGATTTCTGCGTGGATTTCTGCCCGATGCGGCGCGTGAAAAACGAAATGAATGTCGCGTGGATTCTGTTTGATCTCCATTCCCAACCCGGAAAGAATCCACACGGAATTCACCTCGAAATCCAGGACAGTCTAGGCCCATCCTGTTGTTTTCCGAACGAAATCCGTTCTGCGATGTTGGCGCCATGAGAGATGCCCAGAGACATCACAAGAAGTCGCACGCTCTCCAGCGGGTTCTCGGGGTAAGTCCCCAAAAGCTTCCCGAGCCTCAGCGGGCACAACCAGGACATCTAGAACGGTGAACTGTCTCGTCGGATGACCCCACATGTGTAAGGCGAGGCGTATACATGCACAGGTGTGTGCGAACACGTGTATATACATATATATATATATATATATATATATATATATATATACACTCCGCTCGTTAAAAATAGAATCGGTGAAACTAGGTCTCGGCTAAACTAGATCGGAAGTTTCGGTCCCCGACTTCTGCAATTTCGAAAACTAGATCGGCCCGCTTGCATTTTCATCTCCCATGCATTAGCATACTCTCCGCTCTCCTTTCCATTCGGGCGTTGCCACATACGCGTACGCCTCGCAATGTGGCGGTCGGCTCGGCTGCGCTGAATTCGATCCGACCAGGCTCCATACACACGGGGTCGGTCTGCACGGTCAATCCTGCAGGTCACTCCGGGATCCAGGACTATCCACGGTCAGTCTGGACTGACCCAGGCTGGCCCCAGACTGACTCCGGACAGACCCCGGACTGACCTCAGGCAGACCCCGGATCCGACCCCGGCCCAATTTAAACGGACCCCGCACGGAGCTCAGACTGGCCCCGGACTGACCCCCGACTGACCCCGGACTGCCCCCAGACTGCCCCCAGACTGCCCCAAGACTGTTCCCGGAGTGTTCCCGGACTGACCCCGGACTGATCCCGGACTGACCCCGGACTGACCCCGGACTGATCCTTGACTGACCCCCGACTGACCCCCGACTGACCCCGGACTGACCCCGGACTGACCCCGGACTGACCCCGGACTGACCCCGGACTGACCCCGGACTGACCCCGGACTGACCCCGGACTAACCCCGGACTGACCCCGGACTGACCCCGGACTGACCCCGGACTGACCCCGGACTGGCCCCGGACTGGCCCCGGACTGACCCCGGACTGGCCCCGGACTGGCCCCGGACTGGCCCCGGACTGACCCCGGACTGACCCGGACTGACCCCGCGGGACTGACCCCGCGGGACTGACCCCGCGGGACTGACCCCCCGGGACTGACCCCGCGGGACTGACCCCGCGGGACTGACCCTGCGGGACTGACCCCGCGGGACTGACCCCGCGGGACTGACCCCGGACTGACCCCGGACTGACCCCGGACTGACCCCGGACTGACCCCGGACTGACCCCGGACTGACCCCGGACTGACCCCGGACTGACCCCGGACTGACCCCGGACTGACCCCGGACTGACCCCGG